GGCTTGGGAAAGGGCAGAGTGCCCCACGTCTGAGTAGCTTTACTGACCAAACAATGGGTATTGAGAGCTTCTAAGAGTGGCTTTTCAGGAATTGATTTTTCACTTGGATCATGGATTTAGCCTTGGCTACCACGCAGCTTGACTAAGAATAAATATGACGTGCAATGTATTTTACTTCTTGATTCATAACAAATCCCTTTGGTTTTGTCCTGCAAGGCGGTTCCTCTTTGTATGAACACCAGTCAATAGGTTCTAGACGTAAATCTCTCTTTCATGGAGATATTTGCTTCCAGCTAGTACTGTTGCTCTACATCACTGTGAATGGAATGATGACTAGTACCTTCAGTACCTTTCAGAATCGTTTCACCCATACAGGTCATTCTATTGTATTTATAGAATGTTTCATTTACCTGTGATTTCAAAGTTGCGGGCAGCCATCCGAAGCAATGACAACTGCGCAAAGGTGTTCCCTGGCCCATCATCCCTTTCTCTGATGATTGTATTTTTTTTTTTACAAGACAAATAGCTAGAGATGTTGGTGTATTCTGTACCCTTCAAGCTCTTCATAACTGATTCTTATACAGTTGTTCTTATGCGGTCTGTAAGTTACATTTTGTGCTGAAGTACAAAACTATTCAGGCTCTCAGGGCCTTAACAGAATGCTCATATTCCCATTTGCCTTATTCTGTATCATTCATTTATACCTCAGGCTTTAAGACCTTTGGAACAAATAAACCTATTATTTGTTTGGCACATTCTCTTTAGCATAAGAACATGTGCAAAATAAATGGTTATTGAGACAAATGGTAATAAAATTTTAAGCACTAGTTTGGATGAGCTAAGTTCTACTATTTCATTTAAGTGGTTTATTTTAATTTAAAAATTAAATCCAAAATAGAACAGACTTACTCTTCTCTCCCCATGAGAAGAAAGTGAATATATCTATGCCATAATAATTTATGCTTAAATGGTATTTTCCAATATCAAAACAGTTTTTGAAAGTCAGAAAAATAGCACCTTCTTGTTCCACTACATAAAGAGAGAAGGAAGAGCAGAAGGGCTCTGAGCCCCACCTCTCAATTCTTATGTCCTATGTGCCAGAACTATAGCTCTGTAATCAAACGCTGATATACACAAGGAGGGCAGCAAGCACATCAGGCAAATACACATTTTAGGCTTTGGAAACAAAAGTTTTCTTTTTGGAACGCAGCCACATACCAGTGTCCAGGACCTTCTTGGTAATTTTGGGATACTTTTGAAATTTTACAAAGTAATAGCTTTCATATTCCATCAAAATTGTCTCAAGATCGATGTTGTCACAAACTTCAAAGCCACGCAAACTTAATTTCGTCTCTTGTTCCAAAGCATTAGCAGCATCGACATAACTGGTAATTTAAAGAAAAAAAACAACAAAAAAACCAAACAAAGATCAAAAAAACGAAAGTCATGATCTTAATCTGATTTTTTGAGAGAAACAGTGAACAATGGCATTAGTAAGTGTATGGTATTTTTAACCTGTCCACAACTCTATTTATTATAAAAGCATAAATTGCATTCAAAAACCATTTGCTGATTGCTCTAATGTATTTCATAATTTATGTAGGACAATTTTGTTCCAGAAACTGAAACAATTATCAAGGTAAACTGCCAAGATATGTGATTGTCGTTTACCTCTTTCTCACATCAAACCAAAGGGCTGTGCTGTCCATCCACCAAACGGGTGACAGAAGGGCACATGACAGGAGGTCAGGCACACACAAAACCACAAATATAGAGCACTATTATTTAAAAAACATACCCTTCCTCCATTAAATAATGCAAAATTAGAATGAGGAGATTTTTTCGACGAGCTTCTGTTCGCATCTCATCCTGTGAATTAAGACAGAACTCTAGATCAAATGTAATATTCTCTTTATTGCTGTAAACAGCATCTAAATGTAGCCTGTGGAAACAAACAAATTAAGACAACAGCATGTAAGAACTGTAAAACAACTCACTGTTAATAAACAGAAGGAAAGTGGTTTTCAATGTAATTTTTCTTACACATTATCAGGGCTACTGGATGGGTAGAAACCTTTTCCTATAGAAGAGAAAATTACTTTGGAGTTGCAAAAAAATGACTTCTCTTACTATGGTTATGGATCTCCAACATGTTCAGGCTGCTGCGAATTTCAGGGTAGGACTCTTGGAGACCTCATGCACGATGTCTCCAAGGGCTGTGCAAGGAAACCTCCTGCTCCAGCAACTAGAAACACTTTACCTGAGTGCTTGGAGAAGGAGGGATGGAGAACAGGTCGGGGTTCTGCATGACCACACTACAAAGAACAGCTGTAACGCCATTGGGACCTCCGATGTCATGGGCCTTGATGTATACGCACAAGCGAAACACAGAGAACTTGAAGAATCAGTGGTTTGGGGTAACACCAAACTTGCTCGATTTAAACACAGGAATGACCAAAGTCAGGTCCCAACATGCAGGAATTTCAATATGGAGTCAGTCTCATGGATTTCTTGACACAGACTGGAGAACCCGAAGTTATTCACAAATGGTTTGGCAGTAAAAACAAGGCAGAGTAAAACATCAGCATTCAGTGAAGCTACATCTGAGGGAGCATAAAGTGTAATATCAGGTGGAGATAAAGGGGCAGTGGAAACAAAAATCTTGTAAGACGCTGGAACAACGCCTCACTGATAAAACATGCCATGTATGCTGAGCGTCTGCCGAGAAGCCCTGAGGTTTCAGGGTCATGACAGAAGTTGCTACAAGGAAAGCTCTAGAAATCAGCGTATTGACTTTGGTCTGACTCATCAGGATTTGGAGCAGGGACCACAGGAAAAGCAGGTATGGCCAAACCCAGATTTAGGCAAATAAATTATTTGCTTTCTCTTCTAGGATGCTGGCATTCAGGACTGGGCATTGGACCTGATGATCCTTACAGGTTCCTTCCAGCTCAAGGAAGGTACTTTCTTATTCCATGATTCCTTATGGGGAGCCAGTGTGAAAAGAGTGGCACTT